TGTCTGTCCTCGAGGAATGGCTACCAGCAGTATCCTTACTAACACCACTACATCTGATTTCCTCGCCAGTGATGGCCCAGACTTTGACGACGAAGATGGTGAGGTGGATTATATTGATGAATTGGACAATAGCATTGGCTCTCGAGGATCTACAGGCAGTGGAGGCCGTCTATTTTCCACGAATATGACTAACAGTGGGTCAGTATCAGCAGCATGTGCAAATGCTACAAGTACTGCTTTAAACTCTAGTTGGATGCAACAAATCATGGATCGCTCTTGTAATCCAGAACTTAGAGCCTTACTGAATCGCACTGCGAGGGCAGTTGACTATAAGCTTGCTTTCGGTGGAGACTATAGCCTCGCATCACCTCTTTCAAGAGCAAACGGTGGCATTTTATATGCTAATGCTAAAGACGTAAAAAATAATGAGCCTTATTCTGAGGAAAAGCAATCCAACATCATTTTAGCACACATGAAGCGTTCCGCCAGTCAAGGAAATTTTTTGGCTACTGCCAGTCTTAGTGGAATTAGCTCAGACATTGATAAGGCCATTGTAAAAAAATATCAAGATGAAAATTGCATGATTTCTGCTAACGTACGCTCTGTAGGAGTCACAGCCAATGCTTCTTTATCAATTGACCCATTAGGTCATAATTTGGTTAAGTTAGGCATTCCCGTAAATGAAACTAATAAAGTTGACTCAGGACTTTTGCCATCAAAGAACATCGAAGCTCAGCCAAGTCAAACCACTACTTGGGCTCGAAAACGTGGTAGCCGCGAAAGCCTGACGCGGAAGCAGACGGGGATGGATGCTATCGCTTTCGTGCCCCCGCCATCTGAGTGCTTTTCGGAGGAGAGCCATGCTGATAAGATGCCAAATATGACGGCTTGGAAAGTTATGAAACAGGCAGCAAGCAGTAATCTAACTACTTGGAGCGAATTGAAAAAGACGGCCAGGCGTTCTAAGAGTACAGATATTCAGCATGCTGTTGACGGCCATCAGAGTCGCTTAGATCAGCATAAGTTGAATATTGCATTTGGTCATGTAAGTCAAGAACCGGAATCCAAAGTAGAAGTGGGCGAAACCTTTATGCCCAACAATCTGCGTTCGCGATCTCAACCAACCAGCATTGATATGCATCGATTTTCAGGCACTCTTCTGGAGATATTTATGCGAGCTCGGGCCCAGGACATGCTTTACTCCACTCTATTTGATGCAAAACAACGGAGACCTAGCAATGCAAGTGGACGCCATTCATCTGCTGCCTCACCTTCCCTCCACGAGCTTGCAATCTTGGCAGGAGCTTGTGATTTGGGGCCTACTCGTACCGATGCTTGCTCGACGCGTCCGCGAGGTTGGTTTGATGGACTTTTCTCAAATAATTCTTTGTCTGCCGCTTCCACTCACGCAGTCTCAAGTAGTCCGGCTAATTTCGTCCCAAAAATCCAGCAACCACTTATTACCTCCTATAACCTTAGCATCCGCGCTCCCACGAGGGCAAATGTTGCCAGCTCTGGGGCTATCCGACCTTGCAGCAATTTTGGCGCTCAATTCCCTCCTTTGGATGCCACTGGCAAGGCTCTATTGGCTGCCAGTGGGGGCTCTCTGCTTCCCGGACCACCGCGTGGCTTTCCTATCTTTGCGATTGCACCCGGATTGACCACTGGCAAGCGAGCCAGTGGTGGAGTTTACTATCCGACCAGCTCTGCTAGACACCCGATCATTCGACAGGCCAGGCCACTTTCAACCAATGCACTTGGCTCTGGAGGGGGCTTAAGTGCCGCCTTTCAGCCTCTGGCGCCGCAACAGGCCACTGGAGTGATGGCCTCTTTCTCGAGGCGACGTGCTTCTCAAGGTGGGTTTCAGCCAAATAGTCCGCTAGCCACCGGACTCGCCTCAAACTCCCTTGGCCTATCGCCCAGCCTGTTTACAAGGCCATTAGTCTCTTGTCTCACTGCCTCTGCGGGGCCCGACTCCGCTTGCATGACTGCATTGCGACTTGGTGTCCATCCACATCACTATGCGCATCCGGCGACGGCCGCGGGAGTCGCAACAGGAGCAAGCACGATGGCGGGCCTTTCAAGCCATTGCTTTGGTGGGGTCGGCACTCGAAACCCACGGGCTGCAATCGCTTATCCGGGCGTCGGGCTTCTGGCGATTCCTCGGCCATCTAGGATGACGGCTTGTGCATTTCTGTCGCACACGCTACCGGACCTCTCCTTCTTAGGTCAGGCAGCCGCCGAGGAGGACCGAAAGGGCACACCGACCATGCCCAAACGCATGGAAGTCAGCGTCACTGAGACGCCAAGCTTTGCTCCTAATCGCCCGGCCAAGTTCAATAAACCTGCTCAACCACCCTGTGAAGCCGAATCCTTGTCGCCAGCTGCCTCGGCGGGCTGTCACCATGTTTGTCAAAAGTGTGGTGGCTGCTCTCGATCCGCTTCAGCCTCTGCAAGTCATCTGGCCACAACTAACACTTCTTCCTCTTCATCTAGTCTGGTCGCATCTGGACGTCGTGCCAGTCGGCCCTCTCAGACGGTTTCTGTCGGTCCACGTCGCTCTCAACCGGCCGGTCGTGTGCCAACTTCCTCCATTGTAGAGGCGTCTGACAGAAATAAGGCATTGGAGACAGCCACGATTTCTGCAGGTGAATTGCAAGATAAGCCTGAATCTGAGAACTTGTCTGGTGGCCTCTTGTTTAATGAGCGATATCGCAGTTTTCCTGAGCTTGCTTTAGCCGTTGCTGGTACTTCTGGTGAGGAGGCACTTCAAGACTGTAATCGGCTTGCCATGATAGAACATCGGACACCTTGTCGTGCTAAGTTCGACGGCGACTCAATGCTTCACTCGGATCCTATTAAAGTAAGTCATTTTAAGCCCTTTGACGCTAATTGCATAATTCTTCTGCGCATAAATCACTAGCTGCGAGCTTTTATTTAATTCAAGCTTATCTTGCCGAGCATTTTTATTTCATTTCAAATTTAATATGAAGGTCTTCATATGAGCAATTTTTGTAATCACTCCTCATTGGACACCGTCTATCTTTGAACCTATGCTGAGCTTTCATATGTAATGTGCAAGTTTACTACTGATAAATCTTCTGAATACAACTAGGACAAGAATCCTTATTTGAGGTTTAGGATTTTATATTTTACACGAATGATGAAAGTTCGGCATGTTTTCCGACTCCAGTTTAATGTGTCTTCTCTACTTTCAATCTAGTTTCCCAGTGGCTAGGAACTTCAGGTACTTGTATAGACTTTCCACTGACAGACGCATGAAATATTCATTACATCTAAGCAATCACATTGGCAATGAACTTCTTTCTTTAGAAATCCTTTTGATATACTCTTCTGAGGGTAAGCTGCTGTTCGCGTTGCTTAGACTTCGTTCATCGTAACTTTTCCTTAGACGGAAACATTTTCCCCTTCCAAATTTTATATGTAAAGTGACAACTCAGTTTGTTGAGTGAGCCTGACCAGCGTAGTTTTTTGTCATTTACCTAATTATTTTAAACTGTTAATATAGACAAGCTGTCATCAGACTACTAGATTAAATCGTATATATGAAGACCAAAATGGTGTGGCCTGTTTGGTCGTAGTCACCTTTAGCTTTATAGTGTTGGCTCGATCTCGTTTTCGCAACTTGGACGGGGCGTCAGAGAAACCTTGTGGAATGTACCTAGTCTTGTGTACTCTGCCATATTATTCATGATTTCCTACATCTGACCATTGACTTGGCACATTCCAAAAAGTTTTGCCGGCATCGTCAGCACAGAGTTACAACTTATCAAAGTGGCAAGTGAAGGCAATTCCCTTGACCAATTTTCTGTTCAACGGTTCTGGCATCACTCTATACCCACATTTTTTGTTCTCCCTTTAGTTCCAAATCTCTTTTTCTTAACTCCACTTCATTTGCCTCATCTACCTATTCATACAATACTGTGATCTCGTTCACGATTTACTAGATTAAATTCTAGATAAGCACTAAAGTCAGTCGTACATATAATTTGGCTCACTGTTTAATGAGCTTCCTCAGTCTAGTGTACGATTTACTCTGGGAGGCTATTTGCCAATATTTTTACTATTTACAATGTAGTTGAAAAAAAGTTTGGAATCCGATTCCTCCTAAAAGGTATGAGGCGTTTTAATGAC